CCGTAGCTGGGATTCTGAACATAGACATAAAATAGACCGGAAGAGAGCATAGCACCGATTTGACCAAAACCACTCTTCCCGCTACCGATAGAGAATTAGCTATCCAACCAGTCAATTTAGCATTAAATCTCGCCACTATCGGATCCCACATAGCAGCCGAATTCCTCTTGTAACCCAGAGGCAGACCTAAATATTCAGATGGAAGATATCCAACCGAGCAGCCAATAACTTCAGCCCAATTAGTTAGCTCCCCTTCTTCAACATTGATTCCAAAAATCCTGCTCTTACCTAGATTTAACTTCAGCCCCACCAGAAGTTCATAAATCAGTAACACTCTTCTAATATTCCTCAACTCACGAATGGAACCTTTGCTGAAAATTATAAGATCATCCGCAAATTGAAGGTGTGACAACTTGAATGCTCGGTCCTGCAGTCCTAACTCGAACCCCGAGAACAATCCCATATCTACTGCTTTAGATAACAGTAAATGCAACAATTCCGTAGCCAAATTGAAAAGCATAGGTGAAAGTGAACAGCCCTGTCTTAACCCTCTGGCAATATGAAATTTCTCCGTTGGAGATCCATTTAACAAGATCGAAATCTCAGCAGTTGACATGCACTGGAACATCCACGACCTCCACTTTTCACCAAACCCCATTTTGCTCATAATCTGAATTAAAATTTTCCAATCTACCGAATCATAAGCTCTCATAAAATCCACCTTGAAAACTACTCCCTTCAGCCCTCTCTTCCTCCAAAAATCAATACTCTCATTTGCAATGAAAGAGCAATCCAAGATATTCCTCCCCGGAATAAAAGCAAATTGGGACTGACTTATAATATCGTTGAGATACAAACTCAATCTTCTAGCTAAGACCTTAGAGATGACTTTATAAAGACCTCCCACTAGGCTAATTGGCCTAAACTCTTCCAATCCCTCCGGATTTGCCTTCTTTGGAATAAGAGAAATGAAGGAGAAGTTAACCTCCGGCTCCCAAACCTTTCCCACGTAGAAATCCCTAAAAAACCTCATCATATCATCCTTCAAATTAGGCCAGAACTTCTTAAAAAATCCTAAGTTCAGACCATCCGGACCCGGAGCTTTGTTGATATCTGAATGAGCAATAGCTTCCCAAACTTCCTCTTCAGAAAAAGGCTTCTCCAAAGCTAAACGCTGACCTTCGGACAACTTGAGAAAATCCAGATTTAATTCCTCTGCCTCCAGGGTGTTTGTTTGATTATACAACCCCTTGAAAAACTCCACCACTGAAGCTTTTACTGACCTTGGGTCTTCAACAACTTCACCATCAACTTTGATAGCTTTTATGTAGTTTATCCTCCCTCTAATTGCTGCACTCTGATGGAAAAACCTTGTGTTCTTATCCCCCTCCAATCTCCATTTCAATCTAGACTTTTGCATCCAAATTGATTCTTCCTTTTTTTGTAACTCCCATAATTCTCTCTTTGCTTCAACAATAGAATTCATTGACACCAAAGAAGACCCTTGTTGCAATTTTATTTCCATATCCTGTATCTCAGTCTCCAAGGTTCTGATTCTGCTTGGTAATTGGAGAAAACCCTTACCAGCCCAATTTATTGCGACATCCTTCACCCGGTTAAGAGTTTTGGAAATGGGTCTCGAGTTTTCCTGTGTACCCCGATTGAACAGTTCTTTTGTCAACAGTTCACTAAACCCTTCCTCCTCCAACATATAATTAAACAATCTAAACGGCTTTGGCCCCCAATTGCACTCCCTATTCTCCAGCAGAATAATATTGTGATCAGAAATGGACCTAGGCTGCAGATTTTGATTGATCATTGGGAATTGCGAGAAAAAACTATGATCAACTAAAAACCGATCCAATCTCTCAAAGGTGGGAACTTCCCTGTTATTACACCACGTGAACTGACCTCCCACTAAGGGTAAATCGATTAGATTTGCCTTAGAGACAAAATCTCGAAAAATATTCATCGACGTCAAATTCACATCACCACCCCTTTTCTCTTCCTTCGTCAAAAAGGCATTAAAATCCCCACCTAAACAAACTGGGCAGTCCACCTGTTCCAGAAAGGAAAGTAAATCCCTGAAAAATGGCTCTTTATCAGCCTCCACACTTGGACCATAAACATTTATGAAACAACAATGGTTTGTCATACCATCCAACCAACCCTTTAACGCCACAAATCTAGTTCGGATGACCTTATCCTTCACCACAAATACCTTCTGATTCCACATTGTTATTAGGCCACCAGCAGAACCTACAGCAGGCGCAACTGCCCACCCATTAAGGATTTTACCTCCCATTTTCCTACCTAACATAGTGCTAACAATTTCCAATTTGGATTCTTGCAAAAATAGGATAGTTGGTTTTTTCTCCTCTACAAATCTCCTAATGGCACGTGCTTTAACCTTCCTACCCAGACCCCTAACATTCCAACACATAATGGACCATTCTACCATCAAAAGCATTTTATGACCATACCCCCTAAACCAACTACCACCCCTCAATCATCTCTATCCTTCACCAAAGGGACAACTTTGGTCAGGAATTCCTTTTCTCCGCCTTTAAACCTTACCCCCAATAAATTGGATACTCTCCAACACTCCATTGCTTCTGTCCTCCTCTGATTCTTTTCTCCTGCTCCAATACCATCATCCATACCATCACTACTTTTGGCAGCCCTCCTCCTAGCATAAACTTTATTCTGATATCCTCTCTCGACATTATTCCCCGATACACTCCCCCCCAAAGGTCTTCGCATTGATAGAGGCACGGCCCCATTCTGCATACCATATCCAACCTGTGTATCTGAAATTGAAGGCTCAGACTTCTTACCATTCTTCTTTGGTGATGAACTAAACTGTTCAGGCCCAAATACTTCCCTCCTTCCCATGTTGGAAATAAGCCCATCCTCTTGAACAACTTTATCTTTCCCCGAGGAGTCTCCTTGCAAGCTGGCCACCTTTTTTCCCCCATCAGAAAAAGTCCCTGACACAGTCTGCTTGCTGCAACCTTCACCTAGTACTGTCCCCTCGATACAAAGGTCAACCTTTGAACTTTCCTCGGCTTCAGCGCAATATTTCAAACTCCCCTCGTTCATTGGTCCACCTCCCTGTGAAGAACCTCGGACCCACTCTTCAACCCTGCTTCTAGAGTCTGACATCTGCTGAGAATTAACCTGCCCTTGCAGACCACCTCGATTCTCCCCTTTGCTCCCCTCGGACGAATCCCTCTCCCAAGGAACCACTGTTCCTCCTTGAGAACCATCTTCATCAACCCTTTCATCATCTTCCCCTTCCTCAAGCTCAGGGAAGAAATCATCACTGCTTTCTACCTTAATCTTGATAGTAAAGGACCTTCCAAGAGTATTAAAAATGACATATGGAGGGATGTCAAACGGACTTTCAACTCTTAATAACATCTGAGCCACCCTGCAGTCGACTCTTTGAGCTGTCTGTTCTTGAATCTTCACTAATTTGCCCCATCTCGATGCCAAACTAGTAAAAAAAGCAACTGACCAGCAGTTTAACGGAACGCCCATCATGGATACTGAGCAGTAAGGTAATGGAACACCCTTCTCTTCGATCACCGGCTCCAAACTTTCAAACCAAAAGGACAAAACTTCCCATTTATCTTCTACAGCTGCTTCCTTCTCCTCCACCGACCGGAAAACTACCAAACATGCATTTCTCGCATAACCCCATCTAACTACCTTAACATTGATTCCCTCTGTTCTCAATGCCCTTTGCACAAACTCAACCTCAAATATCCCTTTAACGATACCTGTTAATGAAGTCCTCAGCCATGCTCTTTCCTCCAAAGGAATGAAGAAATCCATGTCGTTCTTCTCCTCTCTCCTGTCCCCAAGGTTTCTGGATTGCTGACCCTCATCTTTTTTCACACCTACTACCGTATCCTTATATGTTCTGCCATCCTGGAACCTGTTCATCATCTCCTTCTTCCTAGCCTCAACCACTTGGCTAGCTGCATTTTGCCTTTTCGTAACCTCGACACCTGCACCTCCAGCCTCCACTACTCTATTGCGATTCAAGTTCCTCGGACCACTACTCCTCCGATATTTCGCAAAAGATACTAATATCCTCCTCCCATCAACAAGGGTGTTGTTCATCTTCTCCTTCGCAGCAATCAAATCCTCCTTACTCGCAAAATGCACAAAAGCAAACGTCTTGTTCTTGTAGTTGGGTCTGCTATTAACAAACGGTATAAAAACTTTAATCACCTTACCAAAACGGCTAAAACGATCCCACAATACCCTCCTATGCACTCTCCTACTAAGATTATCAACGAAAGCAACCCACGATCCTATTTCTGACATGCTGCGAAACCAACGAAAGGACTACTACTTCCTTAAGACTGCAGATAGTTACAATGTAATAGTTAATAAAATATCCTATATTAATTACAATTAATTAGTCATCTAAGTCTTAAGATTTGGCCTACAAATCAGTAATGATATTATTCTACCGTCGTATCCTTTGTAAGTTAAGATAAAAGGAGAACCCATCAGGCGACCTCAGTGATAAAAGGGAGTATGGCTCTCCCTAAAGGTCCTAGGTTCAAGCAGCTATGTCTGTAGGGTGTTTGTCTGTTGTCAATGGCTAAGAAACTCTTACTATGGAAAACTCAATTGGACATTTTTGTGGGCACAAACTGTTGTTGCTAATATAGTTACTAATTTTCCATTGGAAGCAGATATTGTATGGACTTTTCCAGCTTTCTTGCCACTCATCCCTGAATTAAGGTACCATAGTATAACAATGAATACTGCATGCTGGGGCATCTAGTTTTGCAGCTGCAAAACTTTGTTTTTTAAGTTTGTAATAGTAGTGTTGCACCTCGATGGAAGCCTTCACATCGAAAAGGGAAGAAAGAAAAATCTTGTAGTTTGGTTAAGCCTGCTTTTTTCATTTTACCTGAACTTGCACTTTTAAAGGAGAGCACATACTCAATTGTCTAAATGTTATTTATCCTATGTAGGTGGAGGAATTGAATTCCTTAGCGGATGAACTTGGGACTGTGACTGCAAAGGAAAGGGTTTTGCTTGAACAAAGTAAAGATTTTTTGTCTGCGTTAGCAGCCATTCAGGTAAATATAGCGTTTTGTTTTATGTTCCGAGCTATTCTCTGCTTCATGTGCTGCAATGGCTCATTATTTAAGGACGTTTCTTAAACTTCTCTTTCAATAGGCCAAGGACTGTAGCTTGAGGACACATATGATACAACTAAATCGGGACACATATAATACAACTAAATCGTGTATCGGCTCCCAGCAGCCTGACAACTCGTGTAGAACTGATCCTACTTGACTATCCACCATAAACATTAACAGTAGCCTTAAGCTTGTGTTGTTCCGATTGGGGTGGAGGCAGCACCGAACAGAACAAGAGTGGATTGAAAATATCTCTTCTTGTCTTCTATCTATGATCGTGAATGTAACCTTTTGCATCTGAAAGATCAGGTGATGTTGGCTTTTCCTCTCAACCGTTATCTGTATACTAGGAACTCTTGTACTGTTTTTTCTTTTATTCTCATTTTAGGAAAAAGAAAGCAATGTATATGTAAATATGTTTAAAGTTCATCTGATAAGCAATTAACATGTATCTCATGGCCTTTATTGACTGATCATCGGAGCTGGATAGCTATATGCCGGAATCCTTTTCAGCGTTTTATTGTAAATAGTCTGGCATAAGGAAGATTTCATGGACCTGAAACGTTTAGCTTGGTAAGTCGTATGCATGTCCTAAAGTTGCGGAAAGAGCTCCTAGTTCAGATGGGTGCCGGCGAATGCTGTTGTTTGTGATTTATTATGGTCGTATTTCCCTACAGTTGTTGAAGGTTGGAGGATCAATTGCTTTTAAAAAGTTTCATGTATTATTCCGAACTTCTCTCATTGTTGAGAATGATCACAAGCATCCAAGAAACAGAATCCAACGGCTATACCTGCCTGCCCGGTACTGACACTTACATGTAAGACGTCTAACACTTGTTTCTCTAATTTTTTTTATGGAACAGCTGGTGCATTCTAATTACTGTCCATCCGATCAATCATCATAAACAGAAGTATTAACATCTACCGCAATAAGTGAATCATGATCGAAATCAGAAAAATTGATAACGACAGCAAAAGAATCAAATGATGAACACAACACGCCAATCAATAGAAGAAACTCGACCGAGTGAAATGAGTAATCAACTGCTTCCGATTTCTCATCCAATCAAGAACAACATCAACCTCTTCAAACATTCGTACGCATCAAATGTTGAATTCCAACTTTAAAGATTGCTGGTGATGCTTTGTGCAACAGTGGCAACCTGAGCTTTTAAACCAGATGAACAATGCAAAAGAATTATATATATATATATACAAGAAAAGATAGAGATTTTTTTAAAAATAAAATGCGGAAAACAACAAAATTAGTCGCTTAATACGTGGTGGAAAAAGAATTCTACTTGTAACAATAGAACTTGTTAAAATGAGAAGAAACTCATAACTGATGATTAATGTTATTCAACTTTGATATCATAAATAATTAAATTTTTGAAAGAAAATAATATAAATATAGAAGAAAGTGTAACCAACATTTTATAATTATATAACAAAATTACAATGAGTAATGATTAAAATTTACACATTTTGGAATGGGAGGCCGGAGGCCGCAGCCGTGGTGTGATAAAGCAGTTAAAGAAAGTTGCTTGCAAATGGTTAATAATATATTACTGTGCAGTTTGCACCTACAGTTCAGTTCACAAAACAAAACAAAAATCTGCTAAGCTGTCCCCCGCCTCCCACCCCTATAAATATATCATCTTCTTCCAACCCCCGTTCATACATATTCTTCAGGTTTCAACAAGCAGTCATGGAAGGCTTAATTCCTTACCTCATCCATGCCATGAGGAAGCAAAAGCCCCGCCACCATTACAGGTCGGCGTCGCTTGGATCTAGCAGCCGTACCTACCACTTGTTAATGGGACTGCAGCAGTCGGTGGAGGGATCTTCTCACCGCCGAAAAAGGTCCGAGTTCCAGCCACCTGCAACTGTGAAGCTCTTCCAGCAGAGGTCAGGTCTTGGGTACAAAGACGGTTCCTCTTCCTACGTGGTGGGTGGCTCAAATGCTCATCATAAGGCGTCACTGGGGAATAGTACTTTCCATGTTTCCGATGTAGGACGAAGATGATTGTGTTGTTTTAATACTTCAAGCAAAGAGATGTTTTGTTTTGTTGGGGGTGTTGTTAAATAGTGTAAAAGTTCTGAATGGCAAATAAAGCAATGGCTTTTCCTTTAATTGTATTTACATTCAAACAATTTATTATAGTCATCACTGATTAGTATGAATACCTTTAACTTGGAATCTTCATGCTTTTATAAGAAAACTGTTAATATCCCAGCTTTAAATTTATTTGATAATAATTGTCACCTTTAACTTTGTCATCAACCTATCAATTTTCCCTAGATGTCACATGTTCGAATATTTGCATCTATCAGCTATTCTATAAGGTGTAGGTGCATATATAGTGTCAATTGATTAAAAAAATTCTGAACCACGTGATAAACACTGAAGCATCTATCGAACTGCATTTAAAAGCCTCCAAAGAAGGCCAAATTGTTCAAATTCCATCATTCCACTACTAAAATAGAGTTGCAATCATTCACATATAGACAAACTTTGTGCATAAAATACAACATAATCGTAAAGAAAGGTAAAAAAATGGGGCACTAAAAAGATTTCACCGCTAACCTTTTGATAATTAAATCAAAGGGCCACTTAATATCATAACTTGAGCTCTAAGATTCCAAGAGTGATTCCACCTTGGCGATCTGGTCCTCTTCGTTCTGTCTGGGAGGGCTCTTGTTGGCCTCATCAAACAAATCATGCTTCCACTTCTCAACACGAGGGCCACCTGCGCGATACCCCTGTCTTCCACTGAATCTATCTCTTCCATTGAAAATGCTACCACCACCACATCCATGCCTTTCATGCGAAACAAATCCACCTCTCGGTACTTCTCTTCTGCTCACGACCTGATCTCTAGCAGTGAGTCTGTCCAAATGCCGGGGGTTGTGGTCCCTTTCCACTCTTCTTTCACTTCCTAAAGCATGGTGGCGAGAAAGGGTCAACTTTTCTGATTCCTTCTCTGCATGGTCAGTCGATTGAGTTGCTACTGGGACCACCTTCTCGCTAAATACAGGTCGTTTCCTGGTAGGTGGTGGATGTGGCAGAGGATCAGCCTCCATTTCAAAGAATCTGTCATGGCGCCAATCATCTTTGCCATCCCTTTTGGCTTGTGGTTTCTTATCTCTTTGCCTCATTTCAAATGGTTTAGTTTGCCTTTCACTATGATGATCCTTCGCATCCCCACTCCATCCACGATCTCTACGCTCTGGACAGATAATGTAATCATCGATCAATAATTTTCAAGAAAACCCTACTTTTTCTCTTCTTGATAAGAAAAAAATGCTGTTAAAGCTTCCCCAGAACCCACTTTGTCAATGTAGACAATCCCAGAACTCTTTCGACAAGTTAATCTATAACCTGAACGTGAAGGCTCTGACATGACAAGGCAACATGATCTCATAAAGTGAAGTATAAGGGGGTAGGATACAAAGCCAAAGTAAAAAAAAAAACTAACCAGAAGCCGCTCTCCGACCAAAACTTTGACCAGCTTGTGCGGCACTACGACGTTCATCATGCTGTTAAAATACATGCACACGCAAGCCTAAGATGGTTATATACCCTGACCATAAAAAGTGCAGAACAAGAATTCTGCTTACATCAACCAGAAGAAAAGGTCTACGGACTCTGAATAATAAACAAACTACTAAACTAGACACAAAACCAGGTTGTTTATTTGAGCTAGTAATCATTATTCCGTTCCGGTATGGATTCATGCTTCATACAAGAAAAATGCTATGGGCTCACAATCCTATGAAAATCAAATCCCAATAACTTCAATAAATCCAAAGCCACATACAACGCGGTAAATTTCCTTTCCAATGCCCCCATTAACATTTCATTAAGAGAATTAAACCCGAAACTGCAAATGCGATAAATACCATTCAACACATATACTATAAGACCATGGGACTGAAAGTAAACGCTTGTGGACCCTAGGACGGCAAACAAACATAGCACTAAATTGCAGTTGCGATGTCAACGTGATTTGTTTCCTAAAAATAACTAGGACTGCAGTGACCTTGAAAAAGGTAACGATGCAGCCGTTACACAGAATTGCAGCTGCAATTTTAATACTATGCAAACAAATGACATATCTTCAGCTTGTTCACAATCTTCCTACAATAAACCAATTGCTATTGGCACAATTACGACATTGCAGGCAATAGACTGGGGAAAAGATTAGACCAAGAACATGTACCAAGCAATAAAAGGAATTCATGAAGATGAAATACCATAATAATAGAATATAAAAACCTGAAAATAGGACCGGGAGCGGGGCACGTCAGTTGCATCAGAAGAATGTTTAGTTCCTTGGTGGTGCCCATTGTTTTTCCGATCAGATTCCTTGCTCACGATTGCATTTTCAACCTTAGAAGAATCACGAGCTGTCGGCGCCACTTCAAGAGGCACAGCAACTTGCAGCCGACGGCGCTGTTTCTCATCGTGGTCGGGCCTGTCTGCAACATCAGCGTTGGACACAACTCTTTCGGTCTGAGGCTTCCCATCTCTCCTAGACCTCTTAGGACTAAACAACATAAACAAAAAATGGATCACTTTCGACAAAATTAAGCGATACAGAAAACCCAATTGAAATGCATTCGTATAATGTTATACGATTCATGGCTACATTTGGGGAACCAAGGGGAGTACCCGGGTTCACGGTCAAACCCAGAACGGTGTCGTCTAGAGTCCGAATCTCGACGAGACATTGCACTGCTCCACAACTTTGGAATAGTGAAATTTTCTAGGGTTGCCTTCCGGTAGAAGAGGATGAATAGGGGGGTATGTTCTGCTGCAACCCCGTTTTGTTTTTAATCCTACAATTTCATCATTTCATATTCACCGTTCGGTTACTATATAACAATTTATCAGAAGTTTGAGGATGATTTTATCTACAAGTAAATTCAAACCAGTAATATTATCTTTGTTTTTCTTAATTATATTAATTTTATATTTTAAAATTATTTTATTATATTAATTTTATTCTTTTGCTAATGTTAATTGTTACGATATCGATGAAATGATCAATAGTACCGAAACGATGAGTCATACGTAAATAATAATGTGATAGATAAATAATAATTATTCTTTTTTTACCATGTTCGAGGGTATAATAAGTCTTCTGACCGTGTTTGAAGAAATAATTTATTCTAATTAAAAGTTTAAAAATGTGAAGCGAAAGATGAACCAAATGGATATCAATGATGATAGAGGCAACCCATATTCATACAATTCTTATGTTACAAAAAAAAACATTTTTTAACCTCGATTATAAAAGAATTAAAATTCTTATAACATCTAAAAAAACACATTTCAGAAGAAGAGCATTCCTCCTCGGCAGATACAAAAAAACTTGTACATCCATTAAATTTAGAACTTCATAGTGGGGTGAAAAAATATGTATTATAATACACAACGATCATATAATTGTTACTACAATTTTATCCAATTTATAATTGATCGATTATTATTATTAAAAAAAAATTCACTCTCGTTTATCAATATGGGTTAATGATTGGAAGTTTATTTCGTTACAAGCCTGACCTTGATGGCGTTGAGACCACTTTATTCATTGAACTAGGACGTCACGTTTGATATGAAATATGAAAGGATGACTCTAACGATGAAGTAAAAGGGCGTTTTTATTATTAAAAAAAAATTAAAAATTCATTTATGGGACAAATAACCTCAAACGGTATTAATTGAAAAAATATCTTTTAAACCGTACACGTAGGACTACCTCGCATCCTACAAAACATATATAAAGGCCTCACGTTCTATAGGGCGCAAGACTCTACCAACGTGGAAATACTTTTCAGAGAATGTAATTTAATATTAGGTTAAACGACCTTGTATTATACGAAACACGAGATACACAAAAATTGAAACGTTTCATCAATTTATCGCAGGTAGTATTTAACAAACCTCGAGTACTACAGAACGAGTTATAGGTACATTCAAGGGTATTTTCAGGTAGTTAATCTATTTTTTTTTGTAATTTATAAGATTAGAGGCGTAATATTGGAATTTATCTTTCAGTTGAGGCCACTATCGACACATATAAGATGTTGTAAGCAAGTTAAAAATCGCGTTGAAAATTGTTCCAAAGCTTGTTTTGTGCATGAAAAAAAAAGCTAAAATCGTTTGATAGGCATATTTGAGGAGTTTTTTTAGGGTAGTTAATCTAACAATTTTCACAATTTATAAGATTAGAGGCGTAATATTGTAACTTATCTTTCAATTGAGGGTAATATCGGCACATACAAGATATTGTAATCGAGTTAAAAATTACGTTGAAAATGGTTCCAAAGCTTGGTTTTATACATGATGAAGAAACTAAAATGGCTTGATAGGCATGCTCGGGGAGTATTTTTGGGAAGTTAATCTGAACTTTTTCTTCTTAATTTATAAGATTATAGGCGTAGTATTTTCGTAATTTATAGTTTTGTACATACAAGACATTCTAAGCAGTGTAAAAATCGAGTTGAAAATGGTTCGAAACAAAAAGAAATTGAAAAAACTAATATATTTTGTTAATTACAAAAGTAGTACAACGAAAAAACACAATTAATCAATACGAGGACGTGACTACTTAGGATATTTGTTTTTCATGTGTTCAAGATTCCTACAAATAGTGCATAGTTTCGGCTCTCCAGTTCATGAGATAAGTGAGTTTGATAAACATATTTGAGGAGTTTTTTTAGGGTAGTTAATCTGACAATTTTCACAATTTATAAAATTAGAGGTGTAATATTGGAACTTATATTTCAATTGAGGTAATATCGGCACATACAGGATATTGTAATCGAGTTAAAAATCACGTTGAAAATGGTTCCAAAGCTTGGTTTTATATATGAAGAAGAAACTAAAATGGCTTGATAGGCATGTTCGGGGAGTATTTTTGGGAAGTTAATATGAACTTTTTCTTCTTATTTATAAGATTAGAGGCGTAGTATTTTCGTAATTTATAGTTTTGTACATAAGAGACATTCTAAGCGGTGTAAAAATCGTGTTGAAAATGGTTCGAAACAAAAATAAATTGAAAACTAACTAATATATTTTTTTAATTACAAAAGTATTACAATGAAAAAGCACAATTAATCAATACGGGGACGTGACTTCTTAGGATATTTGTTTTTCATGTGTCTAAGATTCCTACAAATAGTGCATAGTTTCGGCTCTCCGGTTCATGAGATAAGTGAGTTTGATGGAACAAGAAGTTTCCCCAAAAGGCAAGGTTTTGATGGAAAGAGAAATCTCTTGAGAAGTTTCCCGTATTCCATGTACGAGGGAAACCCTTGGTTCTCGAGTGGATGAGTGTCATTTGTCCTATCAACGTCATAAGTGATAAGAAGATGATGCCATCATTAGAGGATGCCTTTTTAGAAACAATAAGTTTATCGAGAAGGCCAAGTTACTCGTGTTGAAGAAGGTTCATGAGAAAGAAGAATTTGATTGAATAATCGAGCAGAAAAATGGAATTCGGAACCACACCACTACTTCAACAGCAACAAACACCCTCTAATGACTTGTTTGTTCGTGTTGAAGAAGATGCCTTTCTAGAAATGATAAGTTTCTCAAGAAGCCCATGTTTGACAGAAGAAACTCAAAGGGCGACGTCTTTATAAAAGGCATTCTCTTCGGGTGACATAACTTATAGCACCAATATTGGCATAAGCATCTCTAATTTTCATGTCAAGTCACGCCACTCGAAAAGGAGTCCCTTAATGTCACTAGAAGATAATACTTATATAGGAAAGGACCTCACGCTATGCAAAACACGTTTTTCATTTAGATTTCTGACTTGGCATGGACCTCGCGCTCTACGACACGAGAGGTCCACAGAGATTCGTGATGTGGTAGCACCCCAACGTACACATTTGATTTGACATGTCAAGGGCCTTACGTTCTGGAAGGTACGGGATTTGAAAAAAATATCCATAAATACGAACGATAACCATGTTGGATGGATAGTCTCATAACAAAAATATTCAATGGTAAGATTTTCTGCGACTAGGTTCCATTGTGGAACTTATTTTTATACTCCCTTCAATGTCAAGATCAAGAAAGATGAGTTATATGATTTGATTTCAACGGAGCTTAAAATATCTACAACATGGCAAGTGTCTTCGTTGCAAGTGAAAGTTTTCGTTGATGAGCCCAACCCTGAAGCATATTACGCGTTGACCTTATCAAATGCAAGCGACCTTCAGGAGATGTTTAGGACTTACACATGTGTCGGTGGTATGAACATCAAGTTAACTGTAAAATTTGAGGAAATCTTCATCAAGTAACGTAGAAGCAACTCAGTTGTCAGAAGACCAAGAGGACAAAGGGCAGTTCTTCTACGTTACACCTGTAAACGTCGGGAGAAAGTACAAATAATTGAGGAACTGAACTTAACATCAGTCATTTCTATAGACTACGAAGCAACGAAAACAGACTCCTCTTCTATTCATTTTAACTAACCAGAACTTCGTGTAGTTCTTTTTTTTATTATGTTTATAAATTAGTATTAAAATAAATTTCATAAAATATAATGGTTTCTAAAGTATTTATTCATCGAACCAAACAACTAATCATCATATTTTTGAAGGATAACTTACACAAATTAATAATTTAAACTTAATTAATAATTTAAATAAATTTTAACATTATATTTGATTTGATCCGATTAGATGATATATTCAAAACATAAAAGATGCATTTTCAAATATTATTATATTATTTTATTACAACCACAAACTACATAGTTTTCATATTTTTTAATTTTATTTTTATATTTTTATTTTTTTCATTATTCTCTCGAATTCGTTTGCTACGTTGGATTAGTAAGTCTTCATACTTCTTCTTTTCCATTTTTACCTTCTTATGATATTCTTCAAGTTTAATCTTATGATACTCAACTATCGACTTTATTTCCTTCTTTACCCACTATTTCTCATTTGAAGACGAGCTTGAATCCCAATCATCATAGTCAAAGTCGGAATACCCAAAAATAAAGTTTGGAATCATAATTTTTTCCCACATATACATGATTTTGAATAACTCAAAGAAAATGTGAGGAAAAAACTTGTGGGGTCATATTTATAGAAGTCATTGCACCCAGTATGCACGATATTTAATAGATCTCGTGTTACACGAAATGCAAAGTCCACGGGGATTCTTGACTAGGATTCCTGACGTGGCATGATTTTGCTTTCTACCAAACACGAGGTCCTTTATTTTGTATAAAAATATTTTGAAACCATAAGTTAGGTGAAGTATTGTATTTACTATATTTTATTTATCTGATTAACTGAATATATTTTTGCAAGTTTGATTAATCGAATATAGAACTGGAGTTCGATTAACTAAAAATACACTACAATCAAGTTTTTCAAACATTACATAAGTTTTCATTTCAAGAAAAAAATAACTAATGATGCCTATGTCTACCCCATCATTATCATCAGCATCATCACCATCATCATAATCATCATCTTTGTCATCGCCATCTATATGTGCAGTACCACCACTGGTACTGGGAGAAAGACCTGTGTAGAATATGCTCTGTGACAACGTCTACTTAACACTACCAGATACGAAGTTTGTTACAAATGGTGGAAACTAAAATACCGATGGTGGAACAAATGCAGACGAAAGTAATGGATAATGTGGTTGAACTGGTACAATAAGGCAATACAAAGAGACAACCACTGACGGACAGAAACGAAACGCGTCGATGAAAAAATCTTCTATCGGAGGTGACATATGTTGAAATGCTAATTGAGTCAAGCGGGTGAATGCAGGTGGTGCCTCTAGTATCTGATGCTCTGCTGTTGACTGTACATGCACTTATACCGTTCTTGATAGTGAGGCTAAAGCGTGTTTTCTTCTTTTCTGGCGTTATTTCCCTTTACCTCTAACACCACGTTACGTCGATGGAAATTTCGTCGGCGGTTAGTTTTGGGGAGACACATAAATTTCTCGTGCTCGCTCCTCTTTGGTCAGTATATGTGGCTTTCCATATTGTTATTACCACAATATGTAATCATTTGAAACACAGTGGTTCGAAGATGGGTTGACAAATGGGTTTCCTATCCAATCTCGTCACCCACTGCAACACCCATGTTGAATAATGAATCTCTTAATTAACATTCGTCTTCCTCTATTGCGTTACGTGATGCAAGTCATCCAATTTTGGTCGTGGTAACAAAATTGTTTGGACATAGTTAAATTGCTGTAGCATGCGATCGGTAGTACGTCACTCGACTATCTCATAGAGTATCAACGAGACCATCAACATCCAAACGCCCGAACTGAGACCTATTTCAGTCGAAGTACACGATCCAATAGCATCATCATTGTACGATGTCCACTAGAACTACAATTTTTTAAACTAAGTTAGATAAACTCAAATTAAAAATGATATTTAAAATAAAAAATAAAAATCGGTTACAATTATTACATCGTATTTCATCTTATCGATCAACACTTTAAAACCACATAGAGTTTTTGGTAGGTGGGTGTGAATTAGCGTACCAATCCACCTACCATTCATATAACAAATACAATTATTTGTAAAACCCAAAAATAATTTATAATAATCTAAATATATAAATGTAGTTTATTTTTAAGTACCTTCGAAGTAGTGAAAATTGAAATAAGGTTGTGTATTTAGGAATCAGGCGTAAAATTGACATTCACAACCAAATCCACAATTGAAAGAACATTAGGCACCCTCAAATAACTTGTTTTGTCCGTATTGACAGTTGTACAAAACTTCCGAAATAGAAAAGCCAACATTATTGATCCTCAACTCTTATATTTTGAGCCCTACAAAATGCGTAGATGATACAACCATATTAAATGCACTTTGTTCCAAGATTTTATCTGACATCAAGATCTTCCAATAACTCGTAAAATATGAGTACGTACAAATCGTTGCAAAATAAAAAAATTATCATAAATTAAAAAATTATCATAAAAAAATTACAATAACATAAAATAAAACAAAAGTTCAATATTATAAATAAAAAAATCAAAATAAATAATCATAAATTTCAAAAAATATCTTTTTAATTACTGGAGCAGCATTGGGGGTAGCTGCGTAAAATTATCGTCCAAAAATTTAATCTTGATCTTCCCTCCATCTAAATCGAGATTGTTTGGAGGAATTTAAAGCAGTTCCTCACACGTCATACCAGAAGCCATCGACAATACCGATAATAGTCGTTCCGTCAACAGGCAACCCAAGATAAAATGCAACATCTTCAAGGGTAATAATCACTTCTTCACAAGGAAAATGAAACGTGAGCGTATCCGGCATCCAGCTTTTCTAGCAATGCATTTATTAGGGAGGATGAAATTTCGTACCACCAATTATAGTGATAACGTGACCAAAACCGGCTTCGTGAAAATACAAAAGAATATCATCATGAGGGTTCGTGAAACAGTTGATATAACACATCAATGAACGTTCATACCCCTTCAAATAAATAAATAAAAATTATCTCTGGATTTGTCCGTCAGTAATCAAACACATGCATTCGATCAAGCCTTAGTAATCCTGCCATAATAACCAAATAGTGGAATATATAAAAGAAAGAAGCAGAGAGAGAGAGATAATTGGGGAGAAAGGTGTGATGACTTTGGTTGAGGAGGGGCCTATTTATTGGAGTCCTCACACCCCTTCCGAAGCGAGATTAAAGGTACCTCACGTTCTACAAGACGCGAGTTCCGTTGAAAAATACGCGTGTTTAGACCAAACACGTGCTATGTATGAGTGAGGTTGTTGAATCTAATTTAAAAAAATTTTAAGAACACGATAAATTGGTGAAACATTTCAGTTTCTCGTGTACCTTGCGTTTCATATAACGCGAGGTCATTTAACCTAATATTAAGTTGTATTCTTCGAAAAGTGTTTCCACGTTGGAGGAGTCTTGCGCCCTATAGAACGAGAGGCCTTTACATGCATTTTATAGGACATGACGTAGTTTTACATGTGTAGTTTGAGGGATATTTTTCCAATTAACGTCGTTTGGGAGTTATTTATCCAATAAATGAATTTTTGAGGGTTTTTAATAAAAAAAAACCAAGTGTAAGTGACCAAAATTTAATAAATTTATAATATACATGATTTAAACATTATTTTTTAATTTGATGAGTAAACATACAAATAGTAAAAGAAAATGATCAATTTACCCTAATTACAATGATTTCTGCAAGCATTGTTGCAATTGACCTCTACTCATTTCAGTTTCTAATCCCAAGTTGAAGTTGCAATGCTTCAATCACTATATCTTGCTATGCTTGAAATTGCAATCAGCATGACGAAATCCAACGTATTGTTATCACAATTTTGCGGAATAAACTTGTGTAACTATTGGATCAGAAAAGGGAAAAGAAGTAGTGTAACTACACTCTGCCCCTTGATTCTTGAAATGTAAATTTGAGGGCTGAAAGGAGGTTTCAAAACCCAAAAACTTCCATTGCAGCTGTAGTATAAAACCATTGATGCATCAACAAATTCTGATATGTTTATGCACTTGGGCTTCGTTTAACAAAAATTCAGTCATTCAAAACATCAGATTGGGACTTGAACCTTGTGCACCATTTTACTAGAAGCTCATCTATACTGGCATCCATCCGAGTCCCAATTCCTCCCCACATTAGCATATGGGCCATATCCCCAATTGTTGAACCAGTCACTTCATGCACAGCCTTGAACCCTAACCTTTTGTAGAACCTAACAAGCTGAAAGTTCAAAAGATTATAAAAAATCCATTATTATCCACTACTCAAACACGAAAAGAAGATCTTTTTTTTGTGTGTGTAAAGAAAGAACCTTGGAATGATAAAGATCCGAGTCATTGATGGCAAGCAACTCAGCAGTCTTGCAACCGCACTCATAGCCGTATCGAATACCTACAGCCCCAATAAACAAACCGATACCAAAAATCGATCTTTCCATGCCAAGGGTCTCCCTTTTGAGTCTAATTGAATCAAGGTGCAGAATTTTACCTCCAAACCAGACCCTTAAGAGCCCCTCGGCTCTTCCAAGTTCCATGCTGGTCTCCAGGCTTTTAGCTGTGATCCTGAAAAAGGGTCCTAGAGTTTGGAGCTTAATGTCAAGGTTCTGGGCTTTAGAGGATGCCATTATATCGGACATGGATGGTGTATTGAAATGGGTTCTGGTGGTCTTAGGTTGGTTAGAGGATGATTGGAGTGGTGACACCGAGAGCTGAGATGATGAACTGCTTTGGGTTGTACACGAATTTCTGGGATTTGGAACGAAGAATTTGGGAAGTGCAACCATGTGCGGTAATTCCATGTGAGCAGAGAAGAAGGAAAGTGTGTTTGAGTTGGATTTGGATAGTTCTTGGTTTCAAATAAAATCGGGTGGTTTATGCTAGATTGGAAGGCTAGCTATTGTGAAACGTGGATTTCTATCCACTGCGGGTGTTAACCGGACCTATCCAGAACTTCTATAGTTAAAAAATATTATCGATTTTATTATTATTTTTAATAAAATTGATAAAAAAATTATTTAAAATATTATTATTTTTATTTAAAATATTAATATTTTTAATATTTTCGATAAAGTACCAAATAATAACAAAAATATGTTGAAAAAATAACAAAATCGATAGTATTTTACCGGATATGTTAACAAAGCCGCTAAGCGCCCAATAATAACAAAATTGGTTGAAATAATAATGTTTATGATAATTTTTTACCGGTTTTGTTAAAAAACTAATAACAAAATCGGTAGCGTCTTTTCTTAGTCGTATATTAAGGTTGTCGTACATGAGACTTTCTCGACCTATCCTCGTTTGGAAAAAATATTAGATGATTCTGGTTCATCATGTCATTCGTAATCTCAATCAATAATATTTTTTCATATCATTTTTTCTCAAGATGATCTTCACCTCTTTTCTACATGTAAATAAGAGGGGAGTAGTAATTTAAAAATTATTTTAAAATTTGTAGCTCTTGCTAACTGAAACCACAGATAACATGATAAATCAAATCCATCAAATAATTTCTCCCTCGTTTGGGTTGGCATAAACAATTTAGTCTCACGATTATAAAAATGATAAACTATACTAAAGTATCCTTTTGTTTTCTATTTGATATCTAATTTGGCCATCGATTTAAACATTAAGCGTGTTTGGTCTCTTACGTTATTAATTCGTTTGGTTTAAATCTTTTGGTTTGATTCATTGGTCAGACCAAAAACAAAAGAGATTATTCAAATAGTTGATTCTTATAAATATTATGATCAGGGGCGGATGTACATGGCTCCATAGGGGAGTTATTGCATACCCATTATTTTGAAAAAAAAATGTTAAATTTAGTTTAGTTTACTAATGATAATAGGAAAAAATAAGAAAATTTGCACACTCAATTTTTTTTTAGAATCAAGTATTAAAATTTTGAATCGAATTTTTCAATTTCTAGATCTGTCACTGATTACGATGTGATTTATTTTCTAAGAGTAAATATGATATTATGTTACAAATACAATTTGTAGTATTATTAATCGTAAAAACATTATGATACTATCATTATATTGTGTTACGACCGTAATTTGATATTATGATAAAAAACCAACTCTAAAACGCTTGTTAGTAATCATAATTAGGGAGAGAGAGGACTGGAACACTTGTTAAATAGCATAATCGTGGTTAGGTTATTAAATTTACGAAAAAATAGTTTTAGTCAATTTTTATTATTGATTTTGAAAAATATGCATTTCATTTCAATCTTATATATTATTAAAAATTTATTAAATTTTGATTATATATGATATGATTATTATAGTTTGATTACTAAATTATTAACTCTTGTTAGTTTGATGATATAACAAGTTAAATAAAAAAGATTATTTTTAAATATGATCCCTAGACTTCATATGAAATATCACTTTTGATTTTAAATTTTAGATAAAATATCAATTTGACCCCTTGATTCACCAAAATATCATGTCACATGCCACCATTCACCACTATCATTGCTTCGACTCACACATTTTTCGGTGATATGGACATTAGATTCGGTGAATTGAAAATTATGGGATCCAATAGTCGATGATGACGGTGATGGTGACTAGGGGTGAGCAAAATTCGATTCGACTTGAAAATTTTAATACTTTTTTTTTTAATTTTGAATTATTCGAGTCGAGTTATTCAAGTTATTCGATTCAACTCAAATTATAAATTCGGTTTTCGAGTTCAAGTCGAGTTGAAATTTTGATTTACTCGACAATTTTATAATTTAGTTCATGATTTCATTATTTTTTCAATTCCTCCATTTTAAGTCAATTTTTTAACCAAATTTGAACCACATGCTCCTAAACCATCATAGAATACATATGTACTTTCAATTCCTCTTTTTGATAACAAAATTTCTATTTTTTAATCTAGTCCCTCAATTTTTCATAATTTCCTTATTTCTTTAGTTCATCATTTATTTTAAGTCTGTTTTTTTACCAAATTTGAACCACATGTTCATATACAACAATGAAATACCCATGTGACTTCAATTCTTAATTTTTTATTAAAAAAAATGTACTCTCTTTTTTTTATTTAGCACATTAACTTTGCATTTTACTCAATTTGGTCTTTTGACTACAATTGTTTGCAAATTCTTTCTTCTCATCAATTTTTTGACTCCTTTATACTCTCATCAATATTTTAGCCTCGAAATACTTTCTTTAAAATATAATATTATGAATACATTTTATAATTTTAGATTGCGTTTGATATATTAAATAATTTTTTGATGTAAAAGAATATAATATCTATATATATCTTATATGGTTAGAGAAAGTAAAAAAAATTGGAACAAATACTTTCCATAATACTATAAATAATTATAATAAAATTAGTATAGAAACTCGAATAACTCGACTCGAATTTCTTAAACTCGACACGATTCCAAAAAAAAAATCAAGTTAAGTTCGAGTTGTAAAATACGACTTTCCAACTCGAATAACTCAAAATTTTTGACTCGACTCGACTTGACTCGATCGAATGCTCACTCCTAATGGTGACTGACGACGACAACAATGAATGATGAGAGGAACGAGGGACTTTGGTCGAATTTCGAGAATAAGTTGATATTTTGCCTAAAGTTTAAAGGCCAAATGATATTTCGTCTAAAATTTAAAATTTTAGGTCATAATTAGTATTTTATCTAGAGTTTAGTGGTAAAATTAAAAATTAACCTCTTTTGACTAACATATTATTATTGATCATCGAACTTATAAGAATTAATTGTTCAATGGGTATTATAAAAGTTAATGAATAAAAATATATAAATATAAAAGAAAAATGATTAGCATGGAAGTTAACCTTTTATTTAATTATTCTTAATAAAAAAAATAAAATTTGACAAAGGAGTAAAAAGGAAAAAAAGTATTGTCTCCTCTAAATAGGTGATAAATGTCTCCTCCAAATAGGTTATAAATGTCCCCTCCAAATATGTAATAAAATCATTTCAAGGATGAGAACCAGCAAATACCACTTATCATTTTCCTAAATATATTTACAGTCTTAAGAATAAAAATTAATAGCTTTCCTAAAATACATAACCATAGTATCACTCTAAAACTATGCACAACTGTGTTCCCAAACCGTTTAAGATTATATAACCCTCCGCTCTTAAAGCTTCACACTCAATTCCAGTCTCGGGTACACACTATTAGTATCGAATATATTATCAGTCAAAAATGGTCTCCTTTTTAATATAATATAAAATTATGTATCTTGCTAATCCAATTATGAACCTTTGATTACATTGTTTCTCACACATTGGAAGCCTTTGTTTTATTTTTCTCCCACTGAAATGGTTTCAGGTTTAGAGAAAAAAGAAGAAGAAAAACTCTGCAATGGAGATTTGGAAGAAGGAGAGTCTGCTTCTGTTGTTACCATTATGGATCCTTTTTGCAGGTTTGATCTTCAGAGATGACGAGTATTGCCTAAAAATATTCTTTTTAATAATCTCATATGATTATAAAGTGGTATGTTCAGATTTTTTTAATAGTTGACAACACACACGGATTCGGTCAAAAAATATTTATTTGTAGTTAAAATACCCCAAAATTTAATTTTTTATGGTTTGATAGATCGAATATTGATAATGAAATTGCTAAAGAAATAGAGCCCATCTCTTGCAGGAGTCATACAAGGGAAGTCATTGTCGTATGATTATACAGCCAGCATTGAGGTAATTAGGTTTGTTCTCACTAAATTTATTTAATTATAAATTTCAGGCTCAAATACTAATGATTTTTTAATATAAATTTTGGAAAATTTAAAACCACAAGTGTTTGGCACAACCTCACAAGGCTCAGTATGGAGGAGGCATAATTAAGAACCCAGAATTAAATGAGGGTTTGAGAGGATGGTTGACGTTCGGGAATGCCATAATCCAACACCGAAATGATTCAAATGGCAACGAATTCGTCGTGGCTCGAAAACGAAGCCAATCCCACGACGCTGTCTCTCAGAAGCTTTGCTTGGAAAACAATAAACTCTATACCTTCTCCGGTATTACTTTTTCTTTTGAATAGTTTAGGGTAGAAATGAAAGCATGATCTTAACCTGACGAATTTTGATCTAATCCGATTTTAGTTGCTCATTTTTTTTAAAACCTTAAGTTTGGATTGAGTTTTTTTGGAGTATAAGTTCGGGTCGGATTGAGTTCGGATTTAGGATAAAAATTATGTAATTATATATATTCTATATTTGTATCTGGTTGGGTCAAGTCGGGTGTGAATTTTATCTTAAAAGATGGGTTAGTTTCGGGTCAGGTGAAGTCATCTTAAATCCAGTTTGGGACGAGTTTCAGGTGGAGGGTGCATTTTTATTGAGTCGGGTTGTGTTGATTAGAAACTCAATTCGACCCATGCCCGTCCCTAATCTAAGATTATTATAAGATGGTGTTTATTCACATTTTTCTTATTCTGTCAATAATTTACACTAAACACACTACTTGAACCAGAGTAATAACAACATTTCTCTATAATTTACACTAAACACACTACTTGAACCAGAGTAAATAACAACATTTCTCTATGCAATATTTATATTTGACCCATATCTATATTATAAATTTCAATTTTTTTTTGTGATAATGAAGCTTGGGTACAAGTGAGTGAAGGAGAATCAGAGGTGAGGGCAGTTTTCAAAACTGTGACCGGGTTGAAACGTGCTGCTTCAACCGTTGCTCGGTCCAGATGTTGGTCCATGCTCAAGGGTGGCCTCACCGTGAACGCCTCCGGCCCTGCCGAGCTTTTCTTTGATGTAATTATCAATTTCATCCCCTTTTTTCTCCTCAATATTTCCAGATTTCTTTAATTCACAATGTAATTTCTTCAGAGCCACAACACCTCTGTCGAAATCTGGGTCGACAGCGTCTCCTTGCAACCATTCACGCATGAAGAGTGGAACTCTCATCATGTTGAACACATTGAGAAGGTCAGTCACTCATAATATATATATATATATATACCATTTTCAGTCATCCACCCGTTTTAAATCTGTGTAAAACCATATATATTGCAGACAAAGAGAAGGGTAAGAATCCGTGTGGATGCACAAGGGAAACCCGTGGCGAACTCCAAGATTTCCATCAAGCAAAAGATTTCAGGGAAACCAGTGGGTTGTGCTACAAACAAGAACATCCTCAGCAACGTTGGCTACCAAAACTGGTTCACTTCGAGGTTTTCCCACACAACCTTCGAGGACGAAATGAAATGGTACAGCAACGAACCGACCCAAGGTAGAGAAGACTACTCAGTCTCGGATTCCATGATGGCATTAATCAAACAGCACAACATCGCGGTTCGAGGGCACAACATTCTGTGGGACGATCCCCAGTATCAACCTAGTTGGGTCCCCTCTCTCGGTCCAAACGACCTTTCAGCAGCGGCCACCAAAAGGGTTAACTCGATCATGACCAAATACAAGGGTCAAGTCATCGGTTGGGACGTTGTGAATGAGAATCTGCATTTTAATTTCCTCGAGAGTAAGCTCGGGCCAACTGCTTCTTCCACGTTCTACAAAATGGCGTCCGATATTGATAGTTCTGTACCTTTGTTTATGAATGAGTACAATACCCTGGAGGAGAAGGGAGATACTGCAGTAACACCAGATAAATACCTCGCAAAACTGAAAGAAATTCAAAGTGTATTGGGTGTCAAGGCTAACCAAATGGCTATTGGACTAGAGTGCCATTTCGACGTCCCGGACCTTCCTTACGTAAGATCTTCTCTTGATACTCTGGCTGCCACCAAGTTGCCCATTTGGCTGACGGAAATTGATGTGAAAAGCAACCCCAAACAGGTAATATTTGGAGTTCAACATACAATTATACTTGAGCTTTACAAAGTAATATATGTTAAGAGTCTTTCTTAATCATTAACAACATGTAACAATACAAATGCAACTGCTCAAATCTGGAATCTCTAGAGAGAATATCACTCACTTTTACCGTAGAGTCAAAACATATATATATATGATATATATACGTACTTAAGCTTATATGTTATTATATTATCAGGCAACGTTTTTGGAGCAAGTTTTGAGGGAAGGGCATGGGCACCCTGGTGTTAGCGGGATGGTAATATGGGCAGCCTGGAAACCAGAAGGATGCTACCATATGTGTTTGACAGACAATAATTTCAACAACTTGGCAACTGGGGATGTTGTGGACAAGCTGTTGAAAGAATGGGGAATCACTGCCACTTTACAAGGTCAAACCGATGCCCATGGTTTCTTCGAGGTTTCTCTTCTTCATGGAGAATATGAAGTCAAAATCAGTCTTCCAGTTGATGCAGCCAATACTTCACTGTCTCACAGATTCAAGGTGGAACCTGCACATGAATCCCAGGACCAAGCTATGATTGTCCAAGTTTCTACGTGATGTATTCTGCCATTTTAACTAGTTAAGTGTAGTGTAGTTTTTGTAATGCAGAATAATAATTTCATATTACATTTTCTTTCAATTTTGTTTTATTGAGTTAATTAGATACAAACATAACGTAAGAGCAATAAAAGTTTGTCAAATTTTTTTGAGTAAAAATAATAATATTTTCAATCCACGTTGTAAATGTAATACAATCTAGTTATAATTAAATTTTTTAATTAAATAATTTTCATGAATTAATCAAACATTGACTCAATTATAAAAAATAGAAAATAACAATTTAAAACAATATTACTTGTAAAATAAAATAGGCTTCAAAGGGAATTTAATAACTAAAACATCATTTCTTTTGAAAAAGATTTGGATCCATTTTATTAGCCATTGAATCGGTTTATTAGATAATTGTATAAATCATGAATCGTGATGCTTTCTAGGTTCGGCTTCTCGTGAGCTTTTATTTCATTTGCTATTCTATTATGATGTCTTGCCATTATTAATAAAATTGTAACATTCTAAATTTTTTAAATATTTTTTAAGTATATGAGTGGAAAATATTTTTGAGGATTAATATATCAATTTTTTTTATCAATCTAGGGTAAGTATAACACATCATATCTGTTAAAAGATAAGTCTTAATTATTTGACATTGAACGCTCACATCACTGACATTCTTAGTGATTGATCCATGGACCTTAAAGAATAACAACAATTAATATATTAATTCTGAGCCTTTGAATACGTGTCTAATGATTAAACTTAAGGGTTAACTACATGATTGATCATTTATGTTTGTATTTTATCTATTTTTTAACTGATTTCAAAAAGTATAATATGGTCACTTTTGTTTTATTTAATTATGATCATTTTCGGTTTTATTTAATTAAGATGTGGGCATCACGGGTTAACTGCCGTTAACTAGGTGATGTGATATTTTGGTATAATCACACATTCGATCCATTTTATTTATATATTCTCTCAATTTAGTCTTACTTTTAATAAATTAACATAAATTTAATCCTCCAATCAAATGATGCCACGTGTCACTAGTGCCACTATTCACCATACGGTTGTAAGATTAAATTTATGTTAATTTATTTTGTAACACCCCTATCCCGTATATGTTTCCATATAGAAGCTAGAGACGTCACATCAACCATATAAAACATGTGCTATTCAAATTTCAAAAAAAAAATTGTTACGTTTAAAATCGACCATTGTAATTAAGAACACTATAATAATAAACCTAATTATAAAACTAGAATATGAGATTTATCTATACGAACTTAAAATACTATTAAGGTTTAATTTATAAAAACTATTATTTTTCCATATTAATATTACTATAATTTAATAGTACTAATTATTATATTACAAAACCATATTTAAAACTTCATATCAGAGCAGTTAAAAAAATTATATTATACATACCACTATTTAGATAAAATATCAAAATATATATCCTTACTGATTCGGACGGTAGCCTAATTTTCCAATGTCGATGCTGATTTGCTCCCTACTCGGCATTCTTTTCCTTTTTTTTCTTACGTGTGAACCGATCACACACTAAGTATTTACTTAGTGAGACGTTAAGAAAAATTAAAATAAATCCAAACAATATACAAAATATCGTGTAAAAATCAAATATAGAAAACTCATCAACATAAAATTAAAACACGTAAAATTCAAATATTTAAGAATAATTCACATGTAATCATATAAAAGCAAATCAAATATCTAATAAAATTCTTGTAAATTTCTAAACTTAAATAACTTGTACTATTCATATTTAAACCATGTAAGCTCTTAGTATCTTGAACTTTTCATTATTTAAATTATAGCCTAAAGTATTATAATCGAGAATCTAAGGTACGTGAGTCTCGTCGAGTATGAGCACTATATGCACTTTAAAAGTACCTCGTAGATCTAGTTTTGCACTTGAAAATGCCTCGTAGGGTTGTACTCATAAGTGCCTTGTAGAATTACACCATAGGTGCCATATAAACATGTATCATATAGTCACTCCACCTCATAACATGCCATTTGTACCTCACGCTCTTAATATATATACATTGGGCATTTTATCAAAATTAAATAACATTCTCATGAAAATTTCATTCGAACATATCAATAAAATAAAAAATCAGAAACCATCATATTCAAAAGTATATAAACACAATGTAATGAAAATTATATAAAAATATAATTTGTAAATACGTTATATAAAAAATTATTTTTTAAATAGTTGAGGTTGACTCATCGCAAGTCTTCCTCATCGTATTAATATATAAAATAAGTTAAATACACTCACCTTTGCCTCACTAGTAAATATTAGCGTTACTTTTACTCTGGTCCTTTGCTTTTCTCTTTCTGCTTGGATTGACTTTGATTGCGATCACAATTTATCCGAGAATAAATTATCCGAAAAAATAATTTCAAAACATATGTTAATATCTAACTAACATAATAAATATGCATTCACCTAAATTCAAAACATAACATTTATATATTCAATACAACTTCCACAATCTAACATTTAGCCCTCAATAAATAATTTATTACTCTCAACCCTTATGTTTTGAAAATTCTCACATTAATACCTTCATGAATACGTTCATTCCAATTTAATAAACATATTCACCATTCTTCATTAATTCCAACTTAGTATCTCAACCTGGCAACTTTGCAATTTCATCACAAATATTTTTCCCAAGCCTTTCAAATTGATTCTCAATCTTTCATCACTTTCCAAAATAGCCCAATTTAACATTCTAATAAAAATTTCCAGCATAGCACTTCACTTTTCAAAAGCTTACATCTTAAACCTTTAACTTTCCAAACATTGCAAAATGGCCCCTAATAACTCAACCAAGATCCAATTAATTCAAATCATCATTTCAAGCATACAAAATCATTCTAATACTCAATCAAACCCATAAAACATTTTTATAAAAATTTTCTAATTAATCCCCATTATGGCTGTTTTTTTTTCAAAATAGTCCCCTAATGGTTTCTAATTTGCTTTCAAGTTTGAATCTCCCTCCATAATTCATTTCCAATCCACTCCAACCATTCTCCATCAATAACATATAAAAATCAACTAAATTCAATATTTCTCCATCAAACCCCATAATGGTAAAAAATCACAAATAAGTCCCTTTAATTGTTTTTCATTCATTTTCATGCTTGAATAAGATTCCATTACACTCCTAACACCTTGATCCAATCTTATTTCATTGAATTTACATCTTCCCTTCATCGACCATAAACACCCATTTTCACATTTCAACATGAAACAATGCAATACTTACACAAATTTGTAAAGAATTTAGTGTAAATGGTTTTCTTATTTCACAACTTTGTCCTAAATCTCACTAAAATAGATCAAAAATGAAAAAGAAAATTTTCCTTACCTTGTATATGGTGTTTCGTCCAGCTGATGGAGAAGAAGAAACAATTCAAGAAATTTCTTACCAAATATCTCCTCATTTTACCTTAAAAGGCCATTTAAAATTAATTAAAAAAATTCATTTTGGCCCAAAAGTCAAAATTGCCATTAATGAATCCTAAAATTTACCCCCATGCCATCCTTTTATCTCTATTTTAATATTCTTAAAAAAATATAAAAATCTCACTTATCAATTTCCAACTTTACCATTACAATTTTCCAAAAATTTAATTTAGTCACTAAATTCCACTATTCCACTTTAACACTTCAAATTCCACCAACCCACTTCAAATTTTACTGATTAAATTTATCAGTATAATTTTTCTAACCCCAAACTACCTTCCTTAAAAATTTTGTAATCTTTCGATTCAATCCGGTTATCCGAATATTATACCGAACTTCATCCTTTAATAGAATTTTATACAAACTCCAAATCAAAATTCTAAAACCCACTAAAATATTATTCTTTGGTTGAAAAACTCATTTATAGGACCAAAATATAACTTTTAAAAATTTATATTTTTAGTCCCAAATTTTACAATTTTACACTTTATTCCCCAAACTTTTGAAATTTATATTTCAATCACTAGTCCAAAATTTGAGATATTACATATTTGGTTGGTGGAAAATAAATACAATAAATTAGGCACTAGTGACAAATGACACCAATGACATGTGGCATCATTAAATGGAGGATTAAATTTATGTTAATGTATTAAAAGTAAGACTAAATTGAGATAATATATAAAACAACATGGATCAACGATGTGATTATACCAAAATATTTAATGACAATTAACTCGTGGTGACCACATTTTAATTAAATAAAAATTAAAGCGACTATATATTATGTTTTTTGAAACTAGTGAGGAAAAATAGAAAAAACACAAACTTAAGTGATCAATCATGTAATACCCCAAAATTGTATTAGTGACCAAAATGAATACATTGAAAGTTTTGTGACCAAAATATAAATTTGGGAAAAGTTTAGGGACTAAAATGGTAATTTTCTCAAAATATATATTTTTTATCCCATGAATGAATAGTTTATCCCCAAGAATGAAGTTTTAGTGTTACTCGAATTTTTGTTACGAAATTTGTGTTAAAGGCTATAAAGTGTTAAAGTTAGAGAAAAATTCAGATAATCGTATCAAATCGAAAATTCGAGATATTTTGTTAGATGATAGAGCAAGGTCAAAAATGTCATTCCATGCTTTAAAATGATAGGACTTAATATGGACCATTGGATTTAAGTTGATTTTCCATTTTAAATCTAAGTCGTTGGATGAAAAATGGCAAGATTGTAATTATGGAATTTTATAAGGGAAAAGTTGGTAACTACTAACTTTATGTATTAATCTTTTCCCTCGGATGAAGATTTTGACATGTGACATTATGGTAAGCATTAGTTTTTAAGGGTAAAGTGTTCATTTTGTAATAAAATGAATTTTAAATTCATTTTATTTCAAAGATGACAAATGACTTTATTAATTATTTTGGAAATTTCAAGACCTTCCCTATATTTTCTCTTCATTGCCATGAGTTGCTAATGTAAGTGGAA